ATAGATAGATAGATAGATAGATAGACAGATAGATAGATAGATAGCAGTAGTCTCAGTTCTGAGATGGGGTACCTGCACCAGAGCCAGACTCCTCCTGAAAACTCCTGGATGACCTAGGTAGGCCCTGGTTGATCCTGAGGGTAGTGACTAAGAGTAGGTCCCAATATCTACAAGAATTGTCCAATCATATCTTCTGTTGTAGTTCTAGCCTAGGCTTCCTGGATACTGCTCTAGGATGAGACTGTCCGGATGCTGCTCAAGATGTTTCTTCTGTTGTGGCCAGGGACTCTGGAAGTCCTGCCACCAAGGCCTTTTTCCTACTGTAGAGACTCCTGTTCTACTCCTATCTTCCAAGGACCTTCCTCCCTTTCTCTTTCGATGCAGCCTTGGGGTTCTCCCCCTCTCAGAGTCTCACCACAGGGTTCTGAGTACTCCCAAGTTAAGCTCTGGTTGGAGCATTTCTCTTATCACCAGTCTCTGGTACTGCCCCCTTACTGGGCTTTTGCCACAGGACTCCTGGGCTGCCTCTGAGCAGGCTCTTGCCATGGGGCTTCAGCTATCCCAAAGTTGGGCTTTTCCTGGGGACCTTTCCCTTCACCATTGGGCTCCAGAGCTCCCACCCCAGCCCCTCACCCACACTGGGCTCCACTGCCACCATGGGGCTGTTTTGTACAGGACCTTCCACCTATCTTTGTTCATTTACTTCAGGGTTTCCAAAGAATTTCAGCCATCTTTCTGTACAAGACCAGTTAGAGACTACATTTGATTTTTTCTTATTCTTTTTTAACTGGAACATTTTTTAAAATGCTTTTCTGAGAGGTTTGTGGGGTATCGGGGCTCCTCACATGCCACTATCTTCTCATGATCCCCTCCTCCAGTGCTTTTGCTGCTACATGAGGCAACATGGTAGGGGTGGCTCTCTGGGAGACAGAGACAGGATCAGAGACAGAGATACAGAAAGACAGAGAAGAAATATAAAGAGACAGACACAGATATTGAGACAAAAACAGAAATATATACATACACATACATGCACATATACATAAAGAGAGAGAAACAGAAATATAGAGACACACAGAGAGAAACAGAGATAGAAAGAGACAGAAACAGAAATACATGTGTATATATAGAGAGAAACAGAAATACAGAGACAGAGAGATAAACAGACATCTAAGCAAGTAAAAGGAAAATAGTATCAGAGATAAAATACAGGGATAAAACCTTAAGGTTTTAGAGTGCTTGGTACTTCTCACAATAGAGCATATCATTTGGTCCAAAGTTGTTATAGGTGATGGTCATAAGAAGAAAGATCCCACTTTGGCTCCCACTTAATATTTTTACCAATGATTTCAGTGAAGATCTCGGTGTCAGATTCCTTTCACACAGGACACAAAGCTAGGGATAACTAACAGAGTTGAAGTCCAGAACCCTAGATTTAGTCTAGTAAGATAAAATGTGAGCAGGACATGTGTGTAAAATAAATCAGGAAAAGTATAATTTGATAACCATTCTTGTGTAACTTGAGTCCCAAAGCTCATTAGTAGGGGATTCTCCTCATTGGCAGAAAGCAATGCCCCATGCCTGAATGAGAAGCAGGGTAGAGTTGGCCAGCACGAAGAGACTCAGGATATGCAAAGAGACTGAAAAGCCTGATGCTTTCCTCTCTCCTACTCTACCAATTCCACTTGGCGTTGCTCTCCATTGATGAGGAGGGATCCCTGTGCCAATGGGCTTTAGGATTCTGAATTCTATCTGTAAATAGTGTCTGGTGTGCTTACAAGCTCAATTCAAGTACACACTGTAACATGGCAGCTGTAACAGCTGATGCTGGCACCATCTTGGGCTGCATTAAGGGAGTACTTGCATTCAGAACAAGGGGAGTGATAGCAACATTGTCCTCTGCCTTGGTTGGAGGACATCTGAGGAAATGTGATCAGCTATGGGCGTCACACTTTAAGAAGGACATAGGCAATCTGGAATAGGCCCAGGAAGGGGTGATCAGGATGATTGCTATGCCGAATGAGGATCCACTGAAATTAGAGAAATCTTGGTGAGAGAGTAGCAAAGGAGGTGAAGGGGATTATAGCTCTTTTCAAGTATTTGAAAGGCTTAAGTTAAAAATTCTAACCTAATTCTAACTCATTAGAAATGAGTTTATAATTGCTCCTTTGGGCCCCACTTTGGTAGAATTTGGAGCAATGGGGGCTCTTCATGGGAAGCTGAAGAGAGGCAGATGGAGATTCAATATAAGGAAAAACTTTTTCAGCAATTGGATGGTGCAACAATGGAACAGCTTCCTCACTAGGGTGTGAGTTCCCCATCACAGAAGGCATTCAACAAGAGGTTGAATCACTACTCTCCAGGGATGGTATAAAGGAGATTCCAGTCCATATACTTCAGACTAAATAACCTCTAAGGTCAATTCCAACTCTGAGATTCTGAGATAGAGAAGGCTATCCTGGCCATCCCTCCCTCCCCGGGCAAGGTATTGGAATGGCAAGAACAAGCAAGCTGAGGTGGACCAGAGCAAAGAGACTCGGTCATTTTAGGATAGGTGCCCCTGGGATGTGAAAAACCTGATGGAGCCAAAGCAGAAAAGCAATGAGAGATCAGGAAAGCAACGGTTAAGGTGGCCCAAATTTGTTAGCGAGAGTGGTGGAAGCAGAAAGGGAGTTAATGAGATTACCTTTTCACACTCCTTGGTGTCCTCTGCCTCTGTTTGGTTTTCACAAAAGGCCTCATGGGGCAGGTTACTGTTTTGTTTGTTATTGAGGTATGATATTTGCATTTCCGCACCAAAAAAAACCAAACGTAAGTATTTATCCTAAATCCTAACCTGGGCTCCTGGAATTAATGGGGACCATAAAGAATCCCAGAGGTAGCTAAAGGGCAGCTAAAAAGTCTTGTTTACTTGCTCGCCAGAGCCATAGGAAAGTAGTACAAGTAGCTGCCAAGGAATTGAGGGGCCTGGGATTTTGTCATAGTTTCAACCCTGTGTGACAAGGACAAGCATTTTAACCTCCCTAAGCCTTGCTTTGCTCATGTGGAAAACGAAGGGTTTCAATTGCATCATCTCTCAGTTGCTTTCTAACTTTAGTACTCGACTTAGAATCAGGAAGACCTGGATTCAAATCCTACCTCAAAAACACTTCCTAGCTTTGTGACCCTGGGCAAGCCATGGAACCTCCCTGTGCCTTGGTTTCCTCATTTGTAAAATAAAAGGCTTGGACTCTATGGCCTCATAGGTCCCATCCACCTCTAAACCAATCAACTTATTTGTAAAATGCAAATTTTTATTTGTAGGTATAGTAGAAAGAGTTCTGGAGTTGGTATTAAAACACCTGAGTTTGAAGTCTTAAGAGTTTCCCCTTCCCTATATGGCATTAGACAAGTAATTTAACCTTTCTGGGTTCCAGTTTTCCCAACTGTAAAATGAGGGGATTGGATCCAGCAAGCTCTAAATTTCTGTCTACCTCAAAATCTGTGTTCCTTCTTATCTCTGCCCTGCCTGTCTTACTGGGTAATTGCGAAAACAGCAAGATACTGTAAGAGAACACACTGCAAATCAAAAATAATACATCATGTATACTTACCTCAGGTCACAATAACAGTCCATCCTGGATAGGGGCTATGCTAGGCACACCTTGTCTAGGAAATGGCTTGCCCTTGTACTAAGCCAGGGATGGGGTACCTGCGGCCTTGAGGCCACAGGTTCCCCACCCCTGTACTAAGCTCTTCAACCTCTTGGAAAGCTCTGCTCACAACTTACCTCCTCCCAGAAGCCAGCCCTGATTAACCTGCTTTTGCTCTGTGCCCTTCTGACCATACAAAGCTGCAGGTCAGCAAGTGAAGAATTGGGTAGTACAAACCTTGTGCAAATTTTCAAGTTATTCCCATGAATGGTGTGTTGTCTCTCCCCGAGAAAGCTATAGATTCCTGGATAGCAGAGACTGTGCCAAGGGTAAAAAGCCATACAACAGGACACAGTAAATCAATGCTCACTGGCTTTCTGCGGTGCCTAAAAGATAAGAAAAAAGATGAATGCTCACTGATGGAAGGAATGGCTGAACAAGTTATGGTATATGAATATAAAGATATATTATTGCACAATTTACTGTTTTTTTATTGCAGTCATGTCCAACTCTTTTTGACCCCGTTTGGGATTTTCTTAGCAAGATACTGGAGTAGTCTGCCATTTCCTTATCCAGCTCATTTTACAGATGAGGAAACTGAGGCAGACAAGATTAAGTGACTTGCTCAGGGTCACACAGATGTTTAAGTGTCTGAGGCCAGATGTGAATTCAAGAAGATGACTCTTTTGGACTCCAGGCCCAGTACCCTATCCACTGTACCACCTGGCTGCACCTATTATTGCACCATAAGAAATGACAAATATGAAGGATTCAAAAAAAGCTTATATGAATTGATTCAGCAAAATAAGCAAAACCAAGAAAACCTTGGGCAAATCACTAGACCTCTCTGGGCCTCACTTTCCTCATTTGTAAAGTGAGGGGTGTTGAGCCAGATTTTAATAGGGGGAGACAATCTACAAAGGGGAGTGATGGTCTGGGTGGGGTGTTTTGGTTTGGAAAGTTGCCAGAATGGTGACTAGAGCCACAGGGAATAGACTGGCATACCCCTTCCTGTAAACGATGGCCATATTGAGTTGATCCCTTCCCTTCCCCTCTTTCTTGTCTGTTTTCCTTCCCTCTTCATTTGGGCCACCCCATCCCCAGCCACTGAGTGCTGTCATAAATATACTCTTCCATTAGTGGGAATGTTTCAAGTGATGTTTAAGCAAGGAATCTTCTACAGCTAGCCACCAGAAAGACCTAGACACCTATTTGCTGTGTGACTCAAAAAAAAAAAAAAAGAAAATTCAAGCCAATTAAAATGTTTTCTACAAAAAGTTTATTGAATAATTTTATAAAGCAGGTTATGCCAAAAATTAGAAATCATAATAAATGTGAGGAATAGTGTATAAAAATAATGTACACAGATATATTATTAATAGTGACATTTCATTCTAGTAAAGACTAACCAGTAATCTTTCCCAAGAATTTTCTGAAGATGTTAAATATGTTTTAATGACAGTACATACAGAAGCACATACACACATACACACAAACACACATATGTACATCTCAAGTATTTTTCTTTCTGAGTTTCATAGTCCCCTGTGATATTGCTAAGATGAATGAGGGCTAATGTCTTAAGTGTTCTTAAAGTACAACAAAACATTCACTAGGTAGAATAATAAAGATATGACAAAGATCTTTCACTCCCAATCTCTTAATACCTTATCTGAAAAATTAAATCATGCTTCTCAGAGTTACTACCAGGCTTATCAGTGCATTCATCATAGTGCTACCCTAGTGCATTTATTATGGTCCTACCCATAGTGCATGGTCATTTACCTGGTGAGGCATCTTATGAATTGGAAACTAGTCAGTCATCAGTTCCCCCCACTCCCAAAAGTGAACAAATATGTAAACAATCTATGCTAGCCTGATTATATCTGGCTTATTCTTTGCTTAAGAGCACTGATTTCCCTTTCGATTTCATACGGCAAGTCAGTATTGACTTGCACTTCAAAGTACTTCTCAATGTCCTCCACCTCTTTCTCCCAAAACTCCTTTGAGATGCTGAAGAGCTCTGTCATATTGATATCTGTCAGACCCTTGAGATTAAAGGCATCTTCAGAAGGGATGTAACCAATGGGTGTGAGCTTAGCATTGTCTTCTCCATTGATCCTATTGAAGATCCATTCTAGGACACGGGAATTCTCCCCAAATCCTGGCCAAAGGAATTTGCCTTCTTTATCCTTCCGGAACCAGTTAACATGGAAGATCTTGGGCAGCTTAGCTGCTGGGCGCTGAGCCATACTGAGCCAATGAGCCAGATACTTCCCAAAATTGTAGCCAAAGAAAGGTCTCATAGCAAAGGGATCATGCATGATGACTTTGCCTATTAAATATAGAGAAATATAAAATGCATATGATATTTCTATTTAGCAACAATAATTCCTGATAGAGTAGGTCAGAATTTTCCAAGTCTTTATAATAGCATAATAAATAATGAGTGAGAGACAGAGGCAGCATGGAGTTATAACTAAAAGGCCAGCTTTGGAGTCAAGAAGACCTTACTCTGACAAATATTAGCTATATGACCTGGGCCAATTATACTCTTGCCCCGCCCTGTGCTCTAGGACGGGAAGTGATAGAAGACCTAACTAAAGAATTTCCAAAGATCTGGAGCAAGGGAAAAAAAAAGCGTGGTGCATAGAATGACAATGAGGGGGAAAAAAAGCCATACAAGGTTGAGTGGGTAAATATGCTTAATATTTTAAACACTAATAGGAAAACTTGCTAGAAAACTCTATGGTTTAATTTTTTTCCCCTTACCTTTGTGTTCAGCTGCTGCTGTTGCTTCTGACCTCATTGAAGCCCCAACAAATACTCCATGCTGCCAGCTCATGGATTCATAGACCAGAGGTACACCTTGAGCAAGAAAAAATGTATGTTAGAGCTTGGGATTCCACTCAAGTCCTGTTCAAAACACATCAACGTGGAACAACCTGGGAGTGACCCTTGGCTCTCCAAAACTACATCACTAGGAGTTAAGTTCTGGCACATTCTACTAGGCTGGAAAGCTTGAGAGGAAAGGCTTATTAATTGCCCATAGGACGGTCATCTGAGGACCGGCCTAGTTACATTTGTTTGCTCAGTGACTCAAGCAGTACCCACAATGAGTCTGTCTTTTCTGTGAAACATTGTCCCAGAAGTCAAGAAATGCAATTCCCAATGGAAACACTGAATATTTTCTAAATTTCTCTAAAATGCCATACATCAGGAAAGAGAGTATGGTATGGTGGACAGAGTGACAGGCTGATATTCAGGAAGACCTGATCACTAGCACTATGATGACTGGCTGAATCATTTAAACTCTATGTAACTGAAGTGGTTCTCTAGTATTTATCTAAGCCATAAATAGGCTGTAATATACATTGGTAGAGGGGGTTACTATGCCCACAATGGGAAAATCATAGGTCCCACAACTTCTTTTAATTATTAATAAATGCCATTCTCACCAACAGGTCTACGGCCTCCAAAGATAATGCCCTCTATTGGAACTCCTTCTGGAGATTCCCAGGCAGGGTCAATGATGGGACACTGGTTTGCAGGAGTACAGAATCGGGAATTGGCATGGGCACAAGGCTCTCCTGGGCAAAGCAAGAAGAGAGATGTTGGATGATTGGAAGCATATGTTAGGAGTAATTTAGCATGTACCTCATGGTCCTATTTGTGTGCTCTTACCATCCTCTGGAGTCCATTCCTTGTTTTTCCATGATGTAAGTGTAACCCCTGGGCCTAAAGGTTCATCGATGCCTTCCCAGTAAACACCCCCATCACTTGTTTCTGCCACATTGGTAAAGATAGTGTTCTTCTGAATGGTATTAATAGCATTGGGATTTGTTTTCACAGAAGTTCCAGGAGCAACTCCAAAAAATCCATTTTCTGGATTAATAGCCCTTAAGTTGCCTGAAAATTTTAAAATATTGAAGTATAGGTGAATATGAAACAGGCATTTATACTTGAAAATGTATTCTAATTAGGTTTAAGCAAAACTTTTTTTTTCTTTTTCTGACCAAATTCAAAGCCCTTTTTTGCATTCCTCTGTTTCTCTCTAAAGACCCATTTTACTCTGGAATTTAGGTTTGTTTTGCTTCTGTAAATTACTACATTAAAGTTCAAGACTTGCTCCTCAGATAGCTTCCCATCAAACAACATTTTGATGGGTTATATATGTAAACAAATCAGAAACATATGGACTCTGTTTTTAATCACGATTTTTAACTAAGAGAAAATAATCCCCAAAATACATTTCTAACATAACCATTTCTCATAGAAATATTATAAATTATTTAAAATGTTTTGAAAGCAAAAACAAAACAAAACAAGTTTTCACCTGATCCCCACAGGCAATATTAAGGACCAAAATAGTTACCTTGCTCATCAAATTTCATCCAAGCAATATCATCACCAACGCATTCAACTTTCCACCCTGGGATTGTTGGATTCATCATCGCCAAGTTGGTCTTTCCACAGGCACTAGGAAAAGCTGCAGCAAAGTACTTCTTCTTGCCCTCAGGATTCGTGATGCCCAGGATCTGTTGAGAAATGAAATCCTTGTAGAACAACCATTTGCCCCCCTCAGTATGTCTTTCAAAAGTCAAAGGAGGTAGAAGCCCTTACTTCTAAATATTTGATTTTAGGTATTAATGTTTCAAAATGCTAAAGTCAAATTCACAAAATATTGACTAGAATTCTTCTTGTTGTTTGGTTGTTTTTTTTAGCTGTGCCCAACTATCCATGACCCCATTTGGGGTTTAGCAAAGATACTGGAGTAGTTTGCCATTTCCTTCCCCAGTTCATTTTACAGATAAGAAAACTGAGGCAAATGAGGTTAAGTGACTTGCCCAGGGTCACACAGACAGTAAGAGTTTGAAGCCAGATTTGAATTCAAGAAGATGAGTCTTCCTGACTTTAGGCCTGGCACTCTATTCACTGAGCCACCTGGGTGCCCTCAGAGCTCTCTTTAGGTCCACTCTTCTCTGGAAACCTTAAAATAACCTAAATTATTATTTTAACATATTCATCAAAAGAAATTTCCCCATATTTTCTGAAATGTGTGTACCATTTATGACTCATGTAAGCCTCATTTTTGCATTTACCCCTACTTTCAGGAGCACAGGTATTCTGGAAGGGGAATCTAAGGACCTAGGTTCAAATCTAAAGTATGCCACTATAGGACCTGTGTGATGCTGGGCAAATTGCTTTGGCTCTTTGGGTCTTAGTTTCTTCATCTGTAAAAATAAGGGAGTTGGACTAAATGATTTCTGAAGACTCTTTTATACATCTTTAAATCTATGAAAATACCAAAAAACGTTTTATAGAATTATGTTATCTCAGAGTTAAAAGAGACTTCAAAGTTAATCTAAATCAACCCCTTACCTGAAACATAAATCCCCTCTACAACAACCCTGGTCAGCAATAATGTAGCCTCTGCTTTAGAGCATACTGTGATGGAGGGCTCATTACTCCATGAGCAACCTGTTTCAGCTTTAGACAGTTCTAATTATCATTAAAAGCCTTGCATACAATAAGAAATGACTGTTGAACTGAATTATGCCACAATCTGCCTCCTTAAATTCCCTAGTCCTTTCTTTTGAGACCTATTGCAGAATTAATCTAATCTCTCATTTTTTTTTTCTGTCCTCTTACCAGCATATGCTCTGCAAGCCAGCCTTCTTCCTTAGCAATCCTGCTTGCTATTCTGAGGGCAAAGCACTTTTTCCCCAGGAGGGAGTTTCCACCATAACCACTTCCAAAGGAAATAATCTCTCGGCGATCAGGAATGTGAGCGATGAGGGTCAATTCTGGATTACAGGCCCAGTTGTTGACTAAAGGTTCTGTAAAACATGACACAAGCAGTGAGTATCAACTCCTCTGAATGGAATTTGCCTAAAATTTGTCTGGCAGTCAAACCAGTAGGTTTCAGTGCACTTACTTTTTAGAGGTAAAGGGCAGCCCACAGAATGGAGGCATTTTACAAATTCCCCATTTCCCAGTGCTTCTAAGACTGGTGTTCCCATTCGGGTCATGATCTTCATACTGGCCACCACATAGGGTGAATCTGTCAGTTCAATGCCTATCTTTGACAGAGGAGAACCAATGGGGCCCATGCTGAAAGGAATGACATACATCGTTCGGCCTATGGAACAAGAAAGAGTAGATGAGAAATAATATAGAAAATCTCAGGCTCAATTTGAAGAATTCTCCCCAGTAAAGGTTTGTTAAAGGCTGATATCCACATATGAATTATTTCCCACTTGGAATATCTTATCTTCCCCAAATAAACAGCTATGATAAGGAGAGTTAAGTGCATATTGGAATTAGATTAAATAGTGATATCATAACTAAACTTCACTTTGAATTATTATTTGGCATGTCCATATCAGGCAGCTAAGAAGTATCAGTTCTGGATTTAGAGTCAGGAAGACCTGAGTTTGAATCCTACTTGAGAGACTAGCTATGTGACAACTTCTCAGCCTCAATTTCTTAATTAGCAAAATGAGGATGATAATAATAGCACCTTCCTTACAGGATTGTTGTGAGAACCAAAGGAGATAACACGTGTATGATATATTTTGCATACCTTAAAGTGCCATATAAGTGCTAGCTATCATCATTATTATCATTAACATATAATATATACACTTCAATATAATATGTATGCTTCTTGACTTTAGTAATTTTTACATATAAAATTTAAAATATCAGAGGTAACTATATTATGTTTCTATAAAAAAAGTTTTATTTTGGTTATTATGGTTAGAATCGTAATGGTAGAACAATTGTGGAAAATCATACTTGTATCTCATCATATTAAGTGCTTTGTTCACCTTTCATGCATCCTGGAAATCTGGCATTGAAGGCTTTCTCAAAGTCTTCCTCCGACATCCAGCGACCCAGTTGGCTAATTCCAGTCCGGGGGATGGGTACTGTGTCTCTTTGTTCCTGGGTGATGATGACAGTTTTGCTTTCGATTTCTGGCCACATCTCTGGATCAGTAAGAGCCAACCAGCTGGCAAAAGTCAAGAATGTATGTTATTATTGCAGAAAGTTGAGACAGTGGAATCTAAAGATAAATTTTAATATAAGTATATGTATATAGGGCTTCTTTCAATGAAATGCATAAAAATCTCAGGCAGCAGAGAGCAGACGAACCTCATAAAATATAGCTGATGTAAGTGAGGAAATGATTTAGAAATGGACTCTGTCTTAGAACCCTCCTCCTTCACCTCTCTCAGTAGTGGCTTAATAAAAATTTATGTAATGAATGTATAAATGAATGAATGAGAACTTTTTAAAACACTCAGGACCTTTCACAAAATCATAGACTCATACAATGGTTCATTAAAGATCCTTCTTTCAAAAAACAAAACAAGAAGAGAGAATAAGCATCCCAGCTCTGGTTAGGATTCTTACAGTTTTTTCTTCCTTACCAATTATCATACTTCTTCAGTTTCTTGACCATGCTTGTTCTAATACCATAGAGTCAAGAATATTCCTGTTTTTTTCTAGAACCATTGCAGATATGATTTTGTCTGGCTGGCACAACTGGGCACTACTTTCCACGAAGTCTCGGACTTCTTGGGCAAGGTGTCCAGGCTACCTTGGACGATCTGGGCAGAGTAGTTCATGTTGTTCTGCATCTGGGGAGGCATATCTGGACTGGCAGAACGGATGGGCAGGCAGAAATGACCTGCACAATCTAAAAGTGAGACAACAGAAACCTTTCAGTTAGCTTAACACCCTCAAAGGAGCTTTCAGCATTTTGTCTAGATTTCATATCACTAGACAGCTATATATCTGGAAATAAGAAAATGTTTTAACATTTAAAATTATATACAGATATATATAAAAGCTGTACTTACATCTCCCTCTTTGGAGGGTCTCAGAGAGCTAGGCAGTTTTTGTTGTTGTTTGTTTGTAGTTTCTTCCTGCTGATGAGTGTTTCTTCCTTATAGGAAGTTTGTGTCTGAAAGAACACCCTCTTGCCTTAAATACTCTCTAGGAAGGAGAGCCCAACCCCCTAATCTAGGATGAGGGAGGCTTGGCCCTTACATCAGAACAGTGTCTTTTGGACAGCTGCCATTAACTGCCTTAGCTGGGAACAGCTTGCAACAATAATGGGCAGGGGTGAGGCGTGGTGTTTTCACTTATCACTTATTTAACAGACAGCTGATTAATGAATACTAGCAATTTTTTCACCATTGGACTGCCTCCAGTGAGCCCTTGCACAACTTGTTGACTGGCTAAATTTTGACCAAATTCATTGTGGATGGAAAAAAGAAAGAAAAAAAAAACCAACCCCCAAGAGGCCTTTCTTGAAAGGCAGATGGAGTTTAGTGAACTGAGTCCTGAGTAGGTTGGAAAATACTCCTGGACTGCCTAGATTGCTAGCATAGGAAAAACTGGCATACTTTGTATACAGCTGCACAAGGTTGTTAGCTGACTAAAAACTGGATTAGCCTATCATCCTAGGGCTATTTCCACACCTTGGCCAAATCCCCTGAAGCCAGAGAAAGTCTGGTATATTGGCCCAGGCTGAGAGCTCAAGGATTTAGGGTATTTAAATGTCGATTTTCTGATTAAGATCTACATGGAAGGTGCCCCTGTGTGGTAGAAAAGCTGGGGATACTGGCTGGGATCTCAGTTCTGCCACCTATTTACTTTAATAAATGTAAAGTGCTTTGCAAACTTCCAAGGGCTACAAGAATGTGAGCTATTGCCACTCTGGGCTTCAGTTTCCTGATCTGTAAAATAAGGGTATTGAAGAAAGTGACATTTCAGATTCCTGCCACATATAAATCTGTTGTTATTATTTTTTATAGCTGAAAGAATTAGGAATCCTCACTTCTAATTTGGGATAAGGCATTCTATAACTGTAAGGATAGTCCTGTGCATATTAGGGTAAAGGGGGAGACGAAATTAAAATGAACCATGACGCATTTTTTTAAATTATAAGATGAGCTGTAACAGACAAAATGGAGCTTTCTTTTTCTTCTAAACAATTCAGTCGGTCAATAAACATTTATTAGCTTCACTTGGGTTTCTCTACTCAGATAAATTACTCTCTCAGAATGGATAAAACAATTTAGGTCTTTTCTCAATCAAGGAAAGAGAGAAGAAAGTGGAGAAGGGTGGGGAGATTTTAAGTGTTTACTTTATGCCTGGCACTATGATAAAATGCTAGGGATACAAATAGAAACAAAAAAAATAGTCCCTGCCCTCAAAAAGCTTATATTCTAATGGAGGAAGACAACAAATAAAATTAAGTAGAAGTGAGGGCTACGGTAGGAAGTTCTCAGGGACTTGGTGGAGAAAGAACTCTAGAGAAAGGAGGAACATAGTGGGAGTGACCTCCAAGGTTTTCTAGATTCCTTCAAATCTACAAGAGACAGCTCTTGGTCTTCTCTGTGAAAATACCTCCTATTTATTTTGAATACATCTGATAGGTACCTAGTTATTGTCTTCCTCCTTAGAATATAAGTTTCTTGAGGTCAGAGACTGTTTTAGGGACTTTCTTTGTTATCTTTGTGTCTCCAGTGCTCAGCTCAGTGCCTGGCAGAAAACATGTAAATGCTTTGTGATTGATTGATGAATTAAGTTTGGGGAGTTTTAAATATCATACTGAAAATTTTGTATTGTATACTAGAGGCAATAAGTAACTACAAAAATTTTCTCAAGCAGGGCAGCGACACTGTCACGCTATGTCTTCATAAATACTAATCTGTCTCCTGAATTGAAGATGAATTAGGGAGGAGACAGAAAGCAGGCCAATTAGGAGGTTGTCAGTCCACAAGCTTAGTAAGTACTAAGTAAGTACTTACTTAGTACTTACCACTTAGTAAGTACTAATGGCTGGGGATACAAAGAAAGATAATTCAAGTCCCTGCCGCCAAGAAATACACATTCTAATGGAGAGAATTGTAAATAACTAGTTACCTATCAGATACATTCAAAATAGATGGGAGGGCTTTTCACAGGGGAAGGCACCAACATCTGAGGGGACCCAAGAAGGCCCCCGAAGATGGAACTTGAGCTGAATCATGAAGGAAGCCAGGTAACCAGGAAGCAGAGGTGAGAGATGGAGTGTTACATTCAAGGAACTGTGTAAGTGATCCACTCCAGTGTTAGCTGGATTATAGAGGGGTGGTCCTTCTCAAGAATAAAGGACAAACAACCTATGGGTAGCATGAGCTGCCCCACTGGGGACCCAATTGGCCAGTTCCAGTTGGGCAGTGCAACTCCTTCCTTCCTTTGTTCCTTCTTTCTTTCCCTCCTTACTTCTTTCCCTCCTTCCTTCTTTCCCTCCTTTCTTCCTTCCTCCCTCCCTCCCTTCCTTCATTCTTCCTCTCTCTCCTTTCTTCTCCTCTCCTCTCCTTTCTTCTCCTCTCCTCTCTTCTCTTCTCCTCTCCTCTCTTCTCCTCTTCTCTCCTTTCCCTCCCATCACCAGCATCCCAGGCCAAGATGTAAGGTGAGTGATAGCAAGGAGTCAAGTATGACATAAAAGCTGCCAACCTGAATGACTGAGAAGATGATGGGACCCTCAATAGTAATAGGGAAGCATGGAAGAGGGAAATGTTTGGGAAGAAAGTTAATGAATTCTATTTTGTACACACTGAGTTTAAGATGCCTACAGGAGAATCAGTTTGAAATGTCCAAGAGGCAGTTGGTGATTCACAACTGTAGCTCAAGGGAGAAACTAGTGATAAATACATAGACCTAGAATCATCTTCATAGAGATTATGACTGAATCCATGGGATCTGGTGGAATTACTAAATGATACAGCATAGAGAGAAAAGAAAGACAGCCCAGGACAGAGCCTCAGGAAACAACAATGGTAAGTCAGCATGGCGGAGATGAAAGGAGCAGTAAGAAAGGACACTGACAAGGTCCAGTAAAAGTAATAGGAAAGAAAAAAGTAACAAGAGAATCAGGAGGTAGTAGCATCAGGGAAACCTAGGGAAAGAGACTATCCAGAAGGTCATAAAGATGAGGATTGAGGAAAAGTCCATTAGATTAGGCACTTAAGACACTGGTAACTTTGGAGAGGACAGTTTCAGCTAAATGATGAAATTGGAAGGCACTTTGCAAAGGATTCAGAAGACATTGAGGGGAGAGAAAATGAAGGCACCTAATGTCAATAGCTTTCTCAAGGATTTTATCTATGAAGAAAAGGAGAAATATAGAATAAGAGCTAGTGGGGATGTAAAGAATCAGATAAAGAAAGATCTACAGAGTAGATAAGAGTGGGGATGATGGGAGGGCAACCTACCAGAGAAGCAATCAGATCCAGTGTGAATGTAGAGGGGCTGGCCTTAGCAAAGAGAAAAGCTACTTCTTCATTTGAGACTAGAATGAAGGATGAATTAAAGATGTCTGACTAATGTGAGATGAGGAGGAGAGAAGATGGAGTTCTTGGTGAATGGTTTCAATTTTTTGGAGAAGGATGAGGGGAGGTCTTCAGATGAAATGGTGATGGGAGTGGGTGCTATGAGAGGCTTGAAGAGAAACAATAACATTTTAAATAGAAGCTATGGAGAGTAGGATAGAAAATAGACATAGGATATTGCAATAATAAAGGCAAGAGATTATAAGGGCTTGATCTGAATGGTCATGTGAATGAAGAGAAGGGGTAAGATGGCAGTGGTAAAATCAACAAGACTTGGTAACCAATTCAATATTGAGTAGGGGGAGCATGTGAAGAAGAGGCAAAAAAGCATAGGATGAGGCCGAACTAGCCTACCTTTGGGATTAGAAAGATGATGTTGCCCTTCATAGAAATCAGGAAATTTAGAGAGGGATGGGTTTGGAAATTGTGGAAAGGGAGGATACAAGGAGTTCCCTTGCATACCTTCAGTTTGAAATGTTGATAGGACACCCAGGTGGAGATGTCCAGCAAGCTTTGGTAATGTGAGACTAGAGATTAAGGTTAGATATGTAGATATGGAAATTGTTTGAACAGAGATGATAACTGAATCCACGGAAATTTGAGAGAGAGAGAAAGAGAGAGAGAGAGTCTTGGGGGACACTCATACTTACTGAACAGGAGATGGATCATGATTCAGCGAAAGACAGAGAAAGAGACAGAAAGAAGGAAGAAAATAAAGACAAAGAGTAATGTCACTGAAGCCAGAGCAGGAGATAGTGCCCAAAAGAAGAGGGTGGTGGAAAGTGTCAAAAGTTGTAGAAAAGTCAAAGAGAATGAGGACAGATAGCAGTTGAGATCTTTGGTAACTGGAGAAAACAGTTTCCATCAAATGGAAGCCAAATTACAAGGGGTTAAATAAAGTACATGCATATTGAGCAACAGACATTTGGTTTGGGAATCTAAATTCACAAGAAGAATTCCAATCTTGATTGGATTAAAAAAATAAACTAAACAAAATAAAGAGCTGTGATTTCCCAGACCCATGAGAGTTCCAAAATCTGATAAGAAAGAAACTGTCCAAATCCCAAATCTTCAAGCCAAACAATTTACTTGCCTAAATCAACTGCTGGCTTTTATTAGCCAGAGATATCACTTGATGGATTAATTGATTAACATTCCTTTGGAAGTTTCCACCAGTAGAAAAACACTCTTCAGGGTTCCACTAGGGTTCTCCTAAGGTCTACCTGGTCATTCAACCTTTATTGATTTTGTTAGACAAGTATTTACATTTTCTGCATTTACTAGACAATCTCAATGTTTCTCTAGGTTGGCATGTGTTTTAAAAGAGTTAACTT